CACTGTAAAAGAACTGTTATTTTCAAACTTTAAGTCCTCATATCCAAATAATTGCAGGAAATAAATCAAGTCAAAGCAACCATATTGTATTACTACACATAAAGAATTACTTTTCAAAGATACTCTTCTCTACCACTGAGAGCCAAGAAGTACATCCAGTCTCAAGCTCATGAGTTGCTGCTGTAACTAAAGGGAGATTGTGCCTGTGGAGATAAATCATATTGAAGTCAATGGGTCAAATGAATGGCAGATTGGCTGTCACTGTTAAGCCTTTTATTATTTCCAGTGACTTTTATCCATATACATTCGAATTCACCATAGGTTTAGTTCCACAAAATGTTTTTAAAGCTGTACACTGTGGTTCTACACATTCTTCATTTCTAAAGTACCTGTCCCGCATCAAAGCATATCCATTTAACCACTCTTACAATATACAGTGAACCCTTGATGTGTTTAGGTTCAAAGTTTTGTATTTACAGTGAGCCGCCATCATCTAATATGTCAAGGTCCAACTTTAGCTTATTAGGCAAGCCAAAATTATCCTTGAATGTTTTTAAAATCATGCTTAAATTGCCGGCCCCAGACCTGCAGGTACCAGCTGTAATGTTCTTTTGAACTTTAGGCTATTATCTCCTTTCTCCAGTAGAAGCTCAGGTACAAGTATAAGTAGAGAAAGAAAGATGTTATTCAGGGGTGGATGATGGAATCTCTTCCCCTTCTGTCTCTTTCTCTTGGTTGTGTGCATGCAGTGGAATTCTGTATAAGAGGATGCTACTGTATATGTGTTGCTGAGCCTGTGTTTCTTATCACTGCCCATGTACATATGTAGAATCAAAATGTGTGTGTGTGTGTATGAGTACATGAATTCTTACCTGCATATATATAACTGTATAACAACATATCCAGATACAGACAAAAAGAGGAAATACTATTCCAGGAAGAGAGACCAATGCATGCAAAACTCTCATGGTGAGAGGGAACATGACAGATACTAAACAATGGTGTGAAAGAGACCAGAAAAAGAGGATCAAAGTTAAGTGACTCACTCACCCACAAGCATCATCTAATAAGAAACAGAAACTATGATTTCTAAGTAGCTGAAGACAATTGCCCTAATTCTCTCATGCCACACCATGCCTGTAACTGAGATGTGCTGGGCACTTAAATTAAATCCTTTTACTGTTATTATTTATATGACTTTGTTTTGTCCCATGGGCACAGGCTGAAGCTTGTCTTTGGGCCATAGTTCTCCTTTGTCTTAGGCCAATTTGCCTAAGATACTTAAGGTCATAAGCCTTTCTGAATGTATAACTGTGCAGAAATCTGTGACCAATGTCACCACATTCCTTTGGCATGATGTTCAAGTGTACACAGTAAATCTGATCAAAATTTTTGGAGATTTTTGAGCTTATGGATTTTTTTTTCTCAAAAGGTATGTGCGTGTGTTTTTCTTTTACAACAAATGAATGAGGTTTGAAAACCCAGTGTAGTCCCAGTGACAACTGGTTGAATCAGGGGGAAGCTCTGCACTAGATTTTCTGTTTTCTAAACCAACCCTCCCCTTCTTAAAACATGGTTTTTACTATCTAACTTTCTAGGCAACCTTCCCACTCACTTCCCAGTCTCTTCTCTCACATTTTGCTGTTTTTGAAAACAGGGAATATAGCTGTGAATATCCTGGGAGAAAAGACAAACAGACTTTCTAGGTATTAACGGGAATGCTGCAATGAATACACAATTAGAGGACAAGAGTTGTTATATGATTCCCTTCTCATGCAACAGAAAACCAATTTACTTAATTGCCTGTGCTTAAGGGTAATGTCATCTTGTATGGCTTACAGTTTTATACTGATGGGAAAATATTAAGTTACTAATGGCACAAGTCAATAAAGAAATTCATAGGCCATGAGCTAGCATATTAGAAGAAGAACAGAACTGTCAACTGATAGTATTAATTTATGAAATTTCATAAGGGTCAGATACCTGACCTTATACAGGGATGACCTTACACCTTAAGTAGAACCTATCAGTAAAGCAGGGACAGTTAAGTTATATCACACCTCAAATAGTCTTAGCTCCAACCTCCTCTTACAGAAAGTAACCTAGCTCTCAGTCTTAGTGAGTGTTACCTTCAGAATGTTTGATGCATATTAAAATCAAAATACTTTAGGTTTCTCATCTTTCAACACATATTTCTTTATCATTAGCTAAGATGGAGAACATTGTATTTGATAAAATATGATAGACAGTTTAAAACCCTGCAGATAAAACATAAACACAATTATCTACATTATACAGCAAAGGTAACTAATGTTTCAACTCAAATACGTTTTGTAAGAATTAAAGTGAGGACCTAAAAGCCTGGTTAGAGGAGAAGCCTTCTCCAAATTGGACAAAGGGCAACATTTTAACCATTTCTCCTTTCTCTTGCCTTCTCTCCAAGAAAAGGCAAATGATAAACCCTGAGTATGCAGTAGAGTCAGCTGAGAATACTGGCATATCCCTTTTCTTACTGTGGTAGAAGAAATCAGTGATGTTTTAAGAAAAATTTGGGTATTTAAAGCAATAGTGAAAGAAAAATCGTTGTAGCAATTGGTGAAAGCCTTGGATCAGTCAGTTAGGGAAATTAAGACTTTCTAAAACAGAATAAGCCTGATGATAGAAAACAGAAATGGCAGTGACACTGTACTAAATTGTGGCGAGGTATCTAAACATCTCCATATTTCTTTCCTTAAAAGCCTCTCTCTATCAGTTTCCTAGGGCTAATGTAATAAAGTACACAAACTGGGGGGCTTAAAATAACAGAAATTTCTGCTCTTACAGTTCTGGAGGTCAGAGAAATCAAAGTCTCTGTCCAAATCTCTAGGGTAAGACTCTCCCTTGCCTCTTGCAGCTTCTGGAAGCCCCAGGCACTCCTTGGCCTGTGGAAGCATATCTTCAGTTTTTGTCTGCACCTCCACATGGCTGTGTCTGCGTCTGTATTCTTTCTGTGTGCTTGTGGCCAGACTTCCCTCTTAGGAGGACATCAGTCATATTGGATTAGGGCCCATCCTACTCCAGTACGACCGAATTGTAGCTTAACTAAATATTATCTGCAGCAACCCTAATTCCAAATAAGGTCATTCTGAAGTACTAGCATAAAGGAAAACTTCTGTATCCCCACCCCTCTACTGTCAACTACTACACTCACTCAGAACACACCAGAATACTCTGACAACACAGGTGTGTTTATGTATGTGTTTTCCACACCAAGCAATTCTCTGACACAAGTTGGGTGTCCTGTAATTCAATTATATTCTCACACTACAGACCCGGACTTAATAGGAGATCCCACAGTTCAGGGCTCAGCCCCACAAGACTATCCCCATTTTGGACACAAATTGCAAGTCTCAGATTGTCACCTGCACTTTTGACCGATAGACTATAAACTGGGGTTTCCATGACTTTCTCCTTGGGTCAATAATTTGCTAGAATGGCTCATGTAACTCAGGGTAACATCAACATTTCAAAGTTTATTATAAAGGATGTAACAAAGGATACAGACAAACAGCCAGATGAAAAAGTACATAGGATTAGGTCTGGAGGGTCCTAAATGCAGGAGCTTCTGTCCCTGTGAAGTTGGGGCATATCGCCCTCCCAACATGTAGAAGGGTTCCCTAACCCAGAAGCTCTCTGAACCCCATCTTTTTGGAATTTTTCTGGAGGCTTCATCAACAGGCATGACTGACTAGTCCCTCCATCCCCAGCCCCTCTCCCCTCCCTGGAGGAGGGAGGGTAGGCTCAAAGTACTATGCTTTGAATAGGGGTTTGGTTTTACTGGTGTCCAGCCCTCATCTTGAAGATATCCATGAAAACACAAAAAGTCACCTCATTACAACAAAAAGTACTTTTATCACCCAGGAAATACCAAGGGTTTTAGGAGTTCAGTGTCAGGAACTGGGGGCAGAGACCAGTATACTCTATTATATCACTATTAGGCATTAGGACTTGACCATATCTTTTGTAGGATGCGGTGAGTAGGGTGGGGGTTGGGGGCACAATTTAAGTCATAATGTCATCCTTTTAAGCTGCACATATCCTTATGCATTAATACACCTATGTTTACATATACATGTATTTCATGAGAAACCTTTGTCATGAGACATCTTTGTCAAATGCATCAGCTGAGTTGTCCATCATGTTTTGTCCAATGGACAAAAACTCAGACTCTATTATGCACCACTGACATGTTAGACAAACAGAAGGAAGCTTTACCTGGGTCAGTGCAAACAGGGCTCTAGGGGAGATGGGTCATGTGATTCTGGATTCACAGACATGTGACCACATGTTCTCAGTCTGGGCAACTGACCAACACTAAATCACCTCCTAGTAGATCTCCTCAAAGTGTTCTTGAAATCTGTAATTCTTCCTCACATAGAACCATCACAAATGAGGACACAGAATGGAATATTAGGAAACATTTGTGTTTTGGGGACAGATCTAAGTTCTACCACTGACTAGCTCAGTGACCCTAGGCAAGTTAATAAACCCCACATCCTTAGTTTGTACACTTGTAAAATGAAAATTCTTATAGCTGAAGTCCAATTCAATTTCAAGGATTAACTGACAGGAAGCTCTTGGCTGGACATAGAGGAAGCACTTAGCATATATGACCACATTAAACTTCATAGTAAGTACATCATGTTCGAAATAAAACACTTGCATGAGAAAATGTTCCCTACCATGTAACACTAATGACAAAATTATCATGGAAAACATTATTTCATATAAATACAATGAACATTGACTCTAATTAAAACTATAACTCATCGTTTGAAGTAAATGTGCTCCCTTTCTGTTAATTACAATAATAAAGTTAGCTCACTATAGAATAGAGAACCAAGACTCACTCACAGAACAAACATTTCTCAAGCATCGCCTGTGTACCAGATGTTTCTTTGGGAACAATGGATCAGAGCCACATGCAACGGAAAAAGTGGGAGGAAAGTGGTACAACTTACCCCACCAACTCTCTCAAAGTGAGATCCGTCTTTCTTAAAATCTGTGAGGGCCCCATTGAAATACCAAGTAAACATGATGTCTAAGAGGGGGTCGTGTTTCACCTGGCAGGGTAAAATGACGCTTTCGCCGACAGAGACATCCATGTTGGATGGTGCCAAAGTTATTCTCGTTGGTTCTATTGGGGAAATAATAAAGATTTAAGTAAACCTTCAGCATTTTTATTTTGAGGAAAGCTACTGTCACGGGCAGACTGTTAATCTAACATATTGTGTGTATAATTAAGTCTACATGATTAAAAGAGACATTTAATGCAGAACTGTAACACATTTCAATGGATCTATAAATTCTTGTTAAAAGAATTAGGATATCTGAATTTGCAGGATATATGCATTTAAAATTGAAGTCACCTGTAAACAAGAATTATAATAGCACTACAAAATCAATTTTTAACTTAATTTTATTGCTTTGTGAAATACAGGGGTGGAAATAGAAACTACTGTATTTCCGGTACCTTTGAATGACTAGGAAATGCATTACTATTAAAAGTTTAATAGATTAATACATTTGAAAGATTCCACAGAAGATGTTTAGCATAGGTACAATAAAAGGTATACTAAGTAACAATGTTAATTAAAGTCTGTTTTTCCACCAATGCCAGTGTCCACAGGTATATTTCTTTCTCCCTGTCCTCCCCACATATTTCCATTTGTTGTGAATTAAACTTTTTTTTACCCCACTTTCCCATTGCTACTCTCCATTTCTTGGCTCCATGTTGCAGAAAAGTCTTCAACACAATCCATATATATATGCTGTCTACAACTCCTCTGACTAAGCACCCTTTTTAATCCATGCTAGTCAGGCTGTGGTCCCCCCAACCCATTTGCTTTCACCAAGGTTCCCAGTAATCAATCAGCTTGCTGCAAAATACAGTGGCACAGTTTTCCAGTTTTCCATCTCATCTTACTCAACTGACCTTACAGCACCATCTGCTACACCTGATCACTGTCGTCCCCTCAGAACATTTCCTTTGCTTGCTTTCTGGGACACCAAACTTAGTTTTCTCCTTGCATGCTCATCAGTCCTCTTCTCTCTCCTTTATGGCCCCTCTTATTTTCTTAAATCTCTTAATGTTGAACTGTCACAAGCTTAGTCCTTGGTGTTTCTTATTCTCTATCTTCACTCATGCTCTTGGTGATTTTGTGTACTCTTTTCTTTTAAGGAACCTATCTATATACTAACACCTATAAATATGTATTTCTATCCTCAATCTCTCTCCCAGGATCCAGATTCATATACTTGGAATACCTACTTGTGCTGTGATAGATGTAACTGTTCACTGTTATTCTTAACACTTTTGAATTCAGGCATAGCCAAATGCAAATGCTTTGGCCAATGAACTGTAAGTAGCAGTAACATATGGCACTGACAGGCAGAAGCCTGGAAGAACTAATGGGTAATTTAATGTCCTTTTTCTTCTTCCTCAGTGATGGGCAATGTGCCAGACAGTGGAGACACTGAGGCCCTTTCCTCCTGAATGAGGACAGAACAGGTGCCCCAGACTTGCAGCATGAGCAAAAAGTAACTGTCATTTTAATTCATGGGATCTTGGAAGTGTTTGTTACTGCCAAAATACTGTCATTTCATGTGCACATAAAGAGTCTAATCAACAGTTCCTACTCAACACATCCAAGCTGAACTGCTGATCTTCCTCCTCCCCACACCCATGGAACCTCAGCCTTTCCCATCTGTCGTTTTGACTGTCGTTCTTCCTGCTGTTCACCAAACATACTGCAAACATCCTCATGTCCTTTCTTCTCTTGGACCTCACCTCCAGTTTGTCAGCAATTCCTGTTGACTCTACATGCAGAGTATGTACAACTTGGATACCTTCCATGAACTCTTCTACAGCCGCCCTTATTTAGGCCATTATCATCTGCCTGATGGCAGCGATGGTCTCCCGAGAGCTGTCCTGCTTCTACCCTACACTCCGTTCTCAATGGAGCCACTACAGGAAGCTCTAACAATCTAGTTCACATCGTGGCATTCCTTTGCTCATTAGCACCAGCCTCCACTCTTCACTCCAACTAAAAGCTGAGGTCCTAACAAGGTCTACAAAGCTCCTATGTGATTGTCCCCAAGGAATCCATTACTTAACGCCTTTGTCTCCATAAAATTTTGGTCGAAATCTCTCTTGAGTGAAGCCTACACAAATCACTCTGCTTCTGCTCCAACTTACCCCTCCCATATGCCACCCTGTATTTTCTCAATTGTTTGAAATGTTTTTCCTTCTAATTACTTCCTTGCTTTTTACGTATACTACTTGTTTTCTTCTCTCCTCTGTTAGGAGGTAGGCTTCATTTCAGCAGCATCTTTATTGGCTTTATCGGCTTGTGTACTGACATAACCCAAGCACCTGGCACATAATAGGTGCTCATTGTTTTTCTCAAATGAACAAATAAACAAAATACATCCACCACTCTAAGTGCTCTAGTGCTATCAAGGATTATTCCATGGAGTTAAACATCTCCAGAAAAATCCCACAAAGATTTTGAAAAAGAAGTGCATCCAAAAGATCTGCCATAATAGAATAGCATAAAATAAAAGGAGCTCATCAGCATATCTTACTTGTAATACTTTTCCCCAAAATGCCAGCACAGTAACTAATGTGTCCCCTGGTGCTGTGATGTATAAAAATATATTAAGAATTGGTCTCTTGATTTTCACCTGTTAAAATTAGTATAAATGCAAACACAGATTCTACCTTCATGTTGTGAAATGCATATTTTTTTCTTTGGTCTTCATAACATGCCATGCGGTATATCTCCTATAAGGCGATCTTTAAGACATGCACCCACCTGTCACAACCAAGTGTGTAGAGCCATTTGCTTTCCCAAACTGGTTTTCTGCTATGCAGGTGTAAGTTCCAACATCAGCTTTAGTCACATTGGCTATTCTGAGTCCTCCATCTTTTAAAAGAGAAATTCTAAAGCAAATACAAATTAGACAAGTAAGTGTAGTAATTTTTTTCCCAAATAAATAGCAATATTTTTTACATAAGCATTACCTTAAGCTAGTATTATTAAGGCAAAAAGAACCAGCACTTAGCCTTCTTGGAAACAAAAACATATATAAAGTAAATTTACACACAGATACATATACAGTTGAGTAAAAAAAGATGCTTTACCAATTTGAACATTTTTGTATATTTTCTGGCAACACTGATTAACAATAATTACTTAGCATTACACCTAATTTTGGGGGTGCTTTTTATCAAATCAGTATGAAATGTTTTCCAAAAAAATATATAGTATGGTAGATTACAAATGGGTTAGCCTTATCAACTGGAAGAAAATAAAAAGCAGACGTGACATTCTCCTTAAATTTGAAACAGTATGTGAGAATATTTGCCTTTCAGAATGAACATAGGAGAGTCAAACGCTACTCAATATAAATTCAAAGTTTGCAAAAGGACATTTACATTGTCACCCATGAGCTACTGCAAGGAGTCTGGGCAGCACAAACGAACATCACGTTAGTTTCTGAGCATATGCTTTACACCCTTAACCCTTTGCCTCCAACTTCCAGGGCATGCAGCAGACAGTCAAGATACTGAGGGAGCTAGGTGAGGTGCAGGATCTCAAACTCAGTCTCTAAATATCCAAGATTTTTAGGGGTTATCAAAAATGTGATTAGTCTGAGTTTATGTCTGAGGGATATATAAAGTATGTATTTTATGTTTTATACACACTCACACAGAAACATATTCCTTTAATGGCCTGCTATGCGCTTTCACTTCCACCGTGATTGTATTTTCTTGAGTGAGACAGTCATGGTGGAAGCACAGTCACCACCCCATGACCCTGATAGAGCTATGCACGAATGTTTGCTGCTCATGGGATTTTTCTTTTTAATTAATCAAGGTATATTTAAAACAAAAAGGTATAAGAACAATGGCATAGAAAGTTAATCAGAGAACATGGAGCACTGTATTTAATCAGATTAATAATTTAATCTGAGGAACAAAACAGAAGGAATACAAATGCCAAGAACTTCCCTAGGAAGCTGTAAAAAAAAGTACTGTATCTGATTTCCTTCATGGAGCTCTGACCACTTGGTTGGGGGTCAAATGCAAAGTGATCACTTTTCTAAGAGATTATCAAAGAAAGACCTCTTTAGCTTATCAGAGAACAATCTTCTTAAATAGTGTGGAGTCATAACAGAAAGAGGAAAACGTGCAAAGAGACACAAATGAATGAAAACTTAGGATCCGGAGATTGTTTTTGAGAAACATGGGAGTAAACTTAAAGAAATATACATTTAATCAATTCTGCTGTACCCTCCCCTCCCCTTCTCTGGCATCACACTGCCTATAGGAGCAAGACTGTATCCTAAGCCTGAGATGGGTTCTCCCATCAGGGGCCACCAATCTCTACTGCACAAGACCTCATAGATTCTACCCATTGTTTGCTTCTCTTTGATCACACGTCTTCTTTTAATTTTTATGCTTCTTGATGTCTTAGGGCTTTAAAGAAAAACTATTCATGGTGTCTGTTAAATGCACATTCAACTTTCAGATTTTGGTCACTTCCCCAACCCCTAGGTTGGAGAGATCATCCCATAGTTGATGATACTTCTTCTGTGCTTTCTTCATAGCATTTGGCAACTAATTAATTATATATTTGTGTGCTTATCTGGCTAATATTTTTCTCCTCTAGTAAGAGCAGAGACCACAAGCTCTGTGGAGGCAGGGAGAATGTCTGGATTACTCACTACTTAATTCCTAGATCCTTGAATTTTCCTGGCACAGAGTAGATCCTCAAAAATAATGCTTTTTAAGTGAATAAATGACTGTATGCCTTTAGAGTTATTATAGAAGATAGATTAGTGAAGGCAGATTAAAAGGCACTGAAGACTTTACAAATTCTAACCAACTAAATTCAGAAAGTGTGTAGGTTATTATATACACACTTATTTATGTACATATAGACACATATATACTTGTGCATATGTTCCATATATAAATACATGTGTAGATACATACATATATATATGGAACAAAGAAAGATGAGGCAGTATGAGGCTAGATGAAGAGAATTTAAAAATTACTAGGGGAAGAGGACTGAAAATGTGCTCTTAAGGAAGAAATCAAGAAAGAGGGAAAGACTGAAGATAAGGGGAGGAGAGTGGAAAGGAGGGAAAAAGAGTAAAAGAAAACATTGGGAAAAGTCTCAGAAGGAATATAAACAGACACTCTTTCTGACCCATTCTAACTGTTGATGCTCGAAAAATATTTGGCCATAAAACCCAAAAGGAATAGTCCATCTGACTCACATCATTGCTTAATGAATTTCACCTAGATTACTATTAAAAAGATGTGCAGATTTGCTAGAGATCTTAACATGTAAAGCAAACAACTGGAGATGGTATCAGAATGTCTTGAAAATATTTAAATAGTGCATCAAGATAACCTGCTCTTGCAAGCTCCAGGAAGCTGGGCCACCGACTATTTCTGAGATCAGTAGGCCTGAAAACAAAGTAAAAATGTCTCTTGCTGACTGAACAAATATTCAGCATAAGCTTAGAGCTTCTGATTTGGGTACCACGGAACAGAGACAGGCAATTTCAGGTATTTTCATATGCTGTGAATTAGTGTAGCAGCTAAGCTTTCACACAAATATAGAACTATTAGAAATGTTGGAAGAACAGCTAGAAATCCTTTAGAGCATGAGGTTTATTAACTCTAAATGCGCGAACCTATCCTCATGACTATGCTGAGATAAGGAGGAATTTAAAGGCAATGCAAACACCTTAGGAATCACACAGACTGCAAAACAACATATTGACTCTCAAAGAATGTAAACTCTGTATGTTGTAAAATTTTGAGCTAATTGGGTATTTTTTTCCTAAACTGGTTCTTCCATTAGGTTCTAAGAGGCCCACAGGGCATTGCACGCAACATAAAAATAAACAATATTCAGTAAATGGATGGAGTAATTGTTTCTCAACAGAAAACCTTCCATAACCTATGGTTCCCTACAGAGATCCGAAGTGAAAATTTTATACCACTTCACTATAAATGAAATTGCTTTCTAAGCTTTCTGGGAACATGTTTTGCTGAAAATAGGTAGAGCTGAAAATGTCGATAACAATGGGCGACTCCAGTCTTGGCACAGTTAAATGAAGATTTTTGAGATTAACATTCAGTAATGTGGTATCCCAGTTTGGTTTGAGAAATGTGCAATTTAAACCACTGTGGCATTTTAACTCCATCAGTTTTATAATGTACCTTTATATGTACCCTTTAATTCATCTTTATTTTTGTAGTTAGAGGTTAATTATTTCACTTAACTTTGTGCAGTCTCTGGTTAGTTTGGGATAAGTAAACTTAATTGCTGTCAGCTACTCTAATGGTCCATGCTGTAACTCAGGAATGGCACTGAATTTATGACTGTTAAGAAATTCTGTTGGTTGAGAAAGTAGACTGTTGTCTAGGCAACACTGACCTGCACTTTATGATGACATTAAAGTACACATAATAACAGAGTGTGTTTTAGAGTGGGAAAGGTGTGGAGTATTTTGCATACAAAGCAGGATTTCTGAAAATATTTTCTCCCCTTGCCTGCATTACGGTAATACATTCAACTTAAATTTTAACAAACATGGTGCAATTCTACATTTTCTCAGGGAAGTACATCTCAGTGGAGATGAGAATGCAATGATTAAACTGCTATATGGAAAATAAAAATAACAAGGCTCTTTTGGACTTCACTTTCTGGGTACTTTTATAGGAGATGGATGGTTACAATCAGCTGTAAGAGAAAAGTACTCACAATGCATATGTTACAGGATAAATAATGACAGTTAAGAAAAGCAAATACACATTGATGAAAACGCATGAGAAAATAAATGTCAGAGAAAACAAGCATACAATGTATGTCCTCAGTTACAACTCCTCTCAGTCCCATGTCCTTGGTGAAATAACTTCTGCCCCAGGGGTTCAAAGATAGCCTACAAACAGTACTCAGGAAAATAATATTACAAGTTTCATTCTTTTAGCTATAGTATTTTGGGTTTTCATCTTCTAAATTCAACAGTGTTAGTTTAGTAATTTATTGGTTTAGAAAATCCCCAAAGATTCAGCAGTTAATTATCCTATTTTTTGGAGGGAGAACCTGGCTAATAATATGTAATTTTGTTATTTTGTGAACACACACATTACATGGAACAGGTATCTGAGGTCCTAGAGAAACAGGGCTTGACTCCACTCTATAGCCTAGAGAAATGCACTTTCTTCATAGCAACCAACATTTCTTCATGTTCATAAGAAGAGGATCAACAATAAAGGAACGTTTTCATTACTTTCATAAAACCTTTCCAAACTCATACCTATCATAACAAATGCATGTGGAGCTAAATTTATTGTTATGGCAGTGACACAATAGGTTTATTTTGCAAATGGGCTCAAGCTTATAGAACACAAGGCCCTTAAAAGAGGATTTCCAGTTTAAACGGCTGCATAAAACTATTTATCTAAGTAATTCATGAGACCAAGGCAATAATCCATTTGAAACACATAAATCCTCATACAATGGGGTATCTGCAAAAATGATACTCAGATGATTGAGGGAGAAAAACAAATACAATTCTGTGATGGCTAATGTGTTTTAAGAAAACTTTGAAGGGAATACTTACTAAGGTTCAAAGGGCCCCATATTTGACACTATTTTCTGCCTGAGAGATTCATGAGTCAAGTCAACAAGAATGAAAATGTCAGCTCTATTACTTATATGATGGATGAAGCTGGTGCAAAATTGCCTAAGTGAGCAACCATGGTTTCCTGCTACTTCATCCCAGAATCAAGCAGACCGAAACTCCCTGCCACAGGTGGACAACCAAGGCCCTCCCCGTAGGGGCAAACTCCTTTACTGCGTGGTACGGGCCACAGCAATACAGACTCATTCTCTCCAGGCAGGCAGACACCAT